AACAAACTGTTTCGAAGAAGTGGGTTGTCATCGGAGTAATGACAAGACTACACACAAACACGTTGACAAGAGCCCCACAGTTCATACTTTACAGGCACCGGTTTGAAACTTCCACCTGATAAATAATGTTTCAACCTGATCTCTTGTACTGCAGAGGTTCTTACTCCGTTGTGTGTTGTCTGTTTTCAAACTGAGTTTGATATCACTTAGCTCATGCTCCTCCAGATGGTTCTGAGTGAAGTCATATTAAACTCAGTTTGAAAACAAAATGCACTAAATGGAGTAAGAATCTTTGTAGTACAAGAGGCCAGGGTTGCAAATTATTTGTAGCCATTCAAGTGAACTAGTAATTCTTTGGGAGGGAACAGTACACAAAGGCTGGTGGTATGATAGCATACTTTCTTACCTAAAGGGTAGGTGGTATGATAGCATACCCTCTTACCGACCGAGCTCTCGGCACCTGCGGCAGCCATTTTGAAATAATAGAGTTGTCTCCAGGCACTGTGGCAGCAGTGATGCTCACATGACCGTTCATGGCATTTCGGTGGCTTTATGTTGCCATCCAAAATCATTGAGGATCATTGAGCATCATTGAGTGACCAGGTTACCATTCTGTTCGGTGCACAGAAGGCACAGAAGTTCTATGCTCATGGACGCTCATGGACCGCTCATGGACGAAGCAATGAAGTGTTGAACGTAGCTGTGGGTGTTTGATGTGGTGTGTGGATAAGGCTAGTGTAATTCGTGTAGTAAATAGCTGATAGAAATGTCTCTCCTTCAAACTTTGATGGACAAATTTTGGAATCCAGATGTGTGGCTGCCACCAAACGTTACTTGGGCAGATTTAGAACCGAATGATAAAATAGCTTATGCCGAATACAGACATCTAGTAATACCGCTGCCGTTAGCAGTTGTGCTGTTGGTTCTAAGATTTATTTTGGAAAGGTTAGTGCAAATATTTTGGGTTAAAAGTGTTGGGTGTAAGTGCTAATATATTTATGTTATGGAATGTGTGCTTTGTAGATATTGGTTTGCTTCTGTTGGAATTTCTCTGGGCATCAAAAATACGAAACCAAAGAAGGCGCCTCCAAATGAAATTTTGGAGAGGGCATATTTATCAAAAGGAAAAATTAAGCATAAACAGGTACGTACTTCATTCTCTACATTTCAAGGGAAAAATGAAGCACAACCAGGTAAGCGCTTCAGTGTTTGTATACTGCCGTGTATATTAATTAAATGTAAAACAGTACAGCCTTCAGGTTATGTCAGATTTGTTAATTAATTTTAAAACAATACAGCCTTCAGGTTACGTCAAATTTGTTATGTGTGTGGAAACTGCCCACATTGAAGCAAATGTTACAATGACATTTGCTTGAATGTGGGCAGTTCCCACATATGTATACATCATACTATTGTTTTTTGTTTGAAAAACTAGTAAAGAGAGCAGAAACGTTTCTGTTGAACGGTAATCATAATTTGCATTCGTAGATATCTCACAATCTCTACTGTTCATGGAATGTTTGCCGATGAATTTGGTTAGTAATGTGGGAATTTTTGTTAACTTATATTGGCGCCTCATATAGAGGAAACAGCAGTCATAAAGGTGTTTGGAACCAAAATCGCCAAACAGATTAACACAGTCTTTACTTGTATTCAGAATGCCTACATTCATATCTTTGTCAGGAACAGTGCGTTAGGTTTCTTTTTTGTGATTTTTATCAGTTATAGGTTTCTTTTTTGTGATTTTTATTAGTCATCATAGGCAAATGATTAGGCAGACCATAAGTTCCCAAGGTGTATTCCACAGAGCTCAGGCATTCTTTGAAAAACCTCCAGAGGTTCTGCAAATATGTTTCTTTAATAACATATTTCATCATGATTGCTAAATTAAGAAGTAATCTTCATAGAAATTGTGTAAACAGTGTTTATAGAAAATCAATTTTCTCTGTTAGTCATAAAGAAATTGTATGAGGTGCTTTATCACCACTTCTCCTCAACTTCCATTTAGAATATGCCATTAGGAAGGTTCAAGAAAATCATATGGGGTTGGAATTGATTGGAGCATATCACTTCCTTGTATATACCAGAGATATTAATGTTTGGGTGAAAATTTACATGACCTCAAAGGCATGTATAAAATCTCCTACACACTATTAAAGAGGTTGGTCTGCGAATGAACAGAATACTAAAGATGAGTTCATGTCTCATTACAAAATGCAATTCGAAATCATAATATGAAGATAGCTACCAGATTCTGTAAAAAATATGCCAAAATTTGAATGCTTTGAATGACAGTAACAATTCAAGTACCACGAGTCATGAGGTGGGAACATTACCTCTAGACTACGGAGGCCGCTTTCTTGACTATAACTAACTTATCCTGTTGGTCCTTGTTATGTAGCATCGGGTCAGACTGCTTAGAAAACACCGTTTCCAACAGTTCCTTCATTGTTGCTGATGTGTAGGCAAGCTATCATCTAGCAACGGTTTGCTTGTTTATCAAGCTGTTCTCATGCAGTGGACAGTGTTTTAAGTAGTCATGTCACAATATTAAGATAGGTCTTAAGAAAGAGAGGTGTGCACTGGATTTATCTGGCTCAGGATAGGATTAATTTGTGGGTTCTTGTGAATGTTGTAATGAGCCTATGCATTCCACGAAAGACAAGCAATTGTGACTAGTTGAGCTGAGGCTGTCAGTCCAAGTTTTGAGGCGTTTTACAGTAATTGATTAAGGGACTCCTTACCCCATGATTGATTTTTGTGTTTTTAAGTATATGACATCTTCACCGTTACATTTAGTGACCACTGGAATAAAGGCTATCCACTGCAACAAATTTAATAGAATATTTGATCTGTTCTGTTAAATTTATTATAATGGATGGCTTGTTATTCCACTAGATTTTAGTGTCCTAGCTGTTCCCCTTCATTCCTTTATCTACCCTTTTGTCCTCCATTTTATTTTTTTCCCTGTACTTCATCAAACTCTAATGTGTGACATACTTTTGTTTAAGTGCAGGTTTCTCAAGAATGTCCCATTAAGACTTAAAATGTGTGTTAACATTCAGAATTGAGTTTTTACTAAAATGATTCTTTTATAGATGAAATTTGATACAGTAAGCACAAATCTAGTAAAGCATGACATCCACAGGGTTTTATTTATAATAGTGTATTATGCACCGCACTATATTTCCCACACATTTTTGCTCCATTATCATACCCCGCTACTCTGCAGTCCTTAAACAGTGTGTTGTAATCCTGTAAGAGTTGCAGCATTCATTTGGACAAAATTGTTCAACTTGTACTGTGTATAGAAATAAATAATAATTACTTCTGCTTCATGAATGCTAACAGTGCTTTAAGCACTAAAAATTCAGTGTGGTATGTGAATGATCATTTGGAGCACTTCTGTGAACAAAAAAAAAAAAAAGAGTTACATGTATTCTCAGCAGGATAATGCAACAGCACACACATATTGAATTCAATGCGGGCTTTGTGTGAATAATCTGTAGCCTTCAGGTTCTCAGATCTGTATGTGTGATTATCATCGGGGGCAAAAAAAAATCTGATTCAGGTATTACAGATTGAAATGTGGAATGTTGTTCTGTAAATTACAGAAGGTGGACTTCATTGTGTATTACATAATTTATTACAGGAATGTGAAATGAGTTTGCAAATAAACATTTGAATGTACTAATAATATTTACATTTATAAACTAGTCTTTGTGCTATGTAATTTGACACAGATAGGAGATCATTTCATGGAAAAGTCTCTGCAGTTTTACTGTCCCTAGAGTCCTAAGGGGTTGAGAAATATGGGGTTTGTGGATTTTTGTAATGAACTCAAGCTTGTGAAAGTACTTCAGTACTTCCTGCCTTTATGGAACCATTGCAATTATCCTGAGTTAGTTAAATTCAGTCCATATCTTCACATCTGTTTCTGTGTGATCAGTTTAATATTATCCATGATCTGTGCCCATGTCTTCCAATTGGTCTCATATTTTGAAGTTTTCAGATCTGAATTATGTGTGTACCTCATTTTCCCCATGAATATTGTACAGGGTGGGGCACAGAAACTTCCTTTTTGTGAAGACACATTTTGAAGGGAGGGGAGGTCGCAGAAAAGTGGGGATAGGCTCGGCGAATGCAGCTGTCACGGAAGTTTCTGTCTAATACCCCTCAGTAGAAAATATGAGGTGGATGAGTGAGCAGCATGCATTTGCTGTTGAAGCCTGTTTTTCGAACAACCATTCCTACGTGGCAGTGCAGCATGCGTTCCATACTCACTTCAGAATTACGCCCAGAGGTCTGTTCCCGACTGGAAATCGATCGTTTTGTGGGTAGAGAACTTTAGGACAACCAGGAGTGCGGTGAAAAAATCATCAGGACGACAACGGACCGTTACGACGCCAGAAAGTGTGGAGGCAGTTTGACAGTCAATTTTGAGATCTCCAAGATGCTCTGCTCGCAAACATGCAGTCGCCCTAGACATATCCAATCGTTCAATGCGCTGAATTCTTCACAAACATCTTAATTTCCATCCCTATAAGATGGTTGTTGTGCAAGAATTGTCACCATGTGATTTCCAGAACTGAATAACGGCGTGTGAAACGTTATTGGAAACTTTACCCCCTGACGCACTTGTTTTCTTAAGTGATGAGGCACATTTTCACCTATCTGGATATGTCAACAAGCAGAATATGCGCTATTGGAGTGGTAACAATCCCAGAGAGCTCCATGAGAGGCCACTTCACAGTGATAAGGTGACAGTATGGTGTGCGTTGTCGAGAGTTGGAGTTATTGGCCCTTATTTTTTTGAAGAAGACAGTCATGCAATTACTGTCAATTCACAGCAGTATGTGGACATGATTAAAAACTTTTTGACCCAACTCTTGAAGAAATGCCTCTAGGAAATGTCTGGTTCCAGCAGGATGGTGCCACGGCCCACACAGCCCGAGCTTCGATGACAGTCTTGAGGGCAAAGTTCCCTGGACGGCTCATCTCGCTTCGAGGTGACATCCTGTGGGCAGCGCACTCACCTGTTCTAACGCCATGTGATTTTTTATGGGGATACCTCAAGGCAGAGGTTTTTAAACATCGCCCCACAAACCTGCTTCAGCTGAAGAATGTTATTTGGCAGGAAGTAGCCCAAATTCTGGTGCACGTGTTGGAACGTGCAGATGCGAACTTCAGAAAACGGTTGCATCAGTGCATAGAGAACGGTGGCCACAACCTTCAAGATATATTGTTTAAAACTACATGATTTAAAACTTTAAAGTATGTTCTTTCATGAGCTAAACATAAATTTTGTCTATCAGCAATATTTTTTCTTTTATTCGCCTTCAAAAAAAGGAAGTTTCTGCGCCTCACTCTGTATGTGATACTCTCCTCATTCGTGATTCAGTCATCCAAGTAGGGGAACACTATAAATTGTGATGCTCCTCTTTATGTTATTTTTCATCTCGGTCTGTGCTTCTCTCATAGAGTAAGGGGCCCAAGTTTAACTCGGGTATAAAACAAGTACAGCTCAGCCAGTATAGTGACAGGCTACCTGCCTGATGGCTGGGGTTTGATTCCTGGCAAGGGGAAGAGATTTTTCTCCTCAACAGCATCCAAACCAGCTCTGGGGCCTACCCACACTCCTTTTCAGTGTATACTTGGGACTCTTTCCCTGGGAGTAAAGTGGCTGGAACATAAATCTGACCACTCACTTCTGTTTAGTGTCAAGGTCAATGATGGTGGAGGTGTACCTCCATTCTCATATATCTATATAGCATAGAGCTTAATTAATCAACTAATTGTGGACTGGTGATTCAAATATTTAAATCACCCTGGGGACCGGCATTATTAAACCTCCTATCCTAACTTGTGCACTATTCACTTTAAAAATTAATATAAAATCTAATTAATTTTATGAACTAAAATTTTTGGAGAACCCTTATCAGTGCTCCTAGAAGTGCTTGAGAGTGTGATATTTCTGGAAACATTCCCCTTTGTGAAGTGACATTACACAGAACTTGCAAATGTAGACAGTCATACTCCTTTTTTTGTGAACTGTGCAAACACGGCATTGCCTAGAAGGATGCTTCCCCTTGGAATTTTCACTCTTCACAGTTTTCACGAGGGTATGTTTCCGCATATCACCCGAGAGTTGCCCTGGGGTGTCCACATGAGGACTGTGTTGGGTGGGAGTTGATGGGCCCAGTCGCACCAAGTCTGTGTCTGACTCTGGTTCTGCTGCCACCATCTGGTCTGTAGCCCAGGCCTTTGCCACATTCATCAGAAATGCTTTGTATTTCAATTTTGAATACGGGTTTAGATTTTTTGCTGTCCTTGCAATGTTACTACCCGCATTTTTGTCGGAGCTACTATCACTTTTACTGTCTGGCCACAATTCTTTGTTGTCCCCTGTCACTGCCACTGTCTGAGTCACCATCACTAAGCATCTCACAAGACACGTAAGCTAGCTCATAGGAGAATTCATCCTTGATCCATATTCCACTACTAACTTACTGGCTGGTACATACACAGCTTGAAGACCGACAAAAGGCATTTTCCTTTGGAATGGGTTAAGGCAAGGGTCTCCAAACTACAGCCCGCAGGCCACATGCGGCCCGTGATATGATTTTATCTGGCCCGCGAAAGAATTCTGCAGAAATGCGCCAATTGAACTAATTTTTCAGTGAGTAGTGGTAAATGTGATTCTGAGCTTATTGACCTGACATATTATACTTCAGTTCGATGGCTTAGCTGTGGAAAGTTTATTTCGCACTTCTTTCAGCTCAGGAATGAAATTGATATATTTCTTACCGAGAAAAACCATCACGAACCACTTTTATCAGATACCAAGTGGCTTTGGAAATTAGCAGTTTTGCTGATCTGGTGAACCATATGAACCATTTGAATTTAAAGTTGCAGGGTGAAAATAACTTAGTCTGTGATTTATTTGCGCTTATCAAGGCATTCAGAGCAAACACAACATTTCGAGAACTGGAATCTGTCCCCGTCTTCAGGTAAAACAGATTCCAGTTCTCGAAACGTTGTGTTTTTTAATAGAAAGTAGACTGTTTTTTAGAATAGACAAGATGATGGATAATGTCCAGCAAAATAATAATTGTAACAATTTACGATCATCACAAACTTTTAGATCTCATTCAGAGCAAAGTTGATACTTCTGGAAAGCCAAGTGAAAAATTGTAACTTTGATCATATGCTGTACTGTGCAGAGTTGCATAAAAAAGGTGAAGCTGAATTTCCTTCCTCGTTTGCAAATTTATTCATCTCAGATTTGAAAGAACAATTTCGGAAGTGATTTGCCGATTTGGATGCCAGTGCTCAGGAAATTAAATTGTTTCAAAATCCGTTTGACTGTGATGCTGCAGATGTACCAAGTCAAATTCAAATGGAAATTATTGAACTTCAGGAAAATTATCATATTAAAGACAAATACAAGGAAGGAAATCGGATCAAATTTTATAAATTTCTGAACTCTGAGCAATTTCCAAATTTAAAGAAATTTGCTTGTAAATTTATCTGTGCGAACAAACTTTTTCCCAGATGAAGTACATCAAGTCAAAATACAGGGCAAATTTATCCAATGAACATTTAAAATCACTACTTGTGATTAGCATTTCAAAATTTGAACCTCAATTTAATCAGATTTTAAGAATGCAAAAAGAGTTCCATCATTCACATTAATTGTTTTAATATAATTTGTGATGAAAATATGAGGATTTGCTGCTACTGCCTCTTGTCATTAATATACGATAATTTATTCTCACGTACTTTGTATTTAGTTCATGAAATTCTGTGCTTTCAATAAAACTCATATACCTAGAGTTATTAATTTCTCATTTTATGCGGCCCGTTGAAAGTGCTGAATTACCTAATGTGGCTCACGGTTAGAAAAGTTTGGAGACCCCTGGGTTAAGGTAACAGAGAGGTCATGTTACTGAATACTAAGCAAACATTCCGGAGTTTTATTACACAGTAGTCATGCAGCTGTGTGGTAACAGAACAAGGTATAGTGTGTTGCAACCTAACATGTCCTAAAATCATGATATCATGTGACCGGTCCACCACATTTAAAAGCAAAAAGCATGATATCATGCGACTAGTCCTTTAAGTGTTAAGCACAGGGACAATTTTTCTTTTTTTACTCTTTTTGATGCAGTTTGCTCATTCAAATAGATGTTATTAATATTTACTGAAGTGTTATCAGTTAGTGTGAGATTTTCAGCAAAGATTTAACCATGTTGTGATAGCATAAACTGTACCTGCCACTTCAGATTCCAGAAGTCTGAGTCATTATATCTGGTATGGAAGAAATGCCATTATCATATTAATGCCATATTAAGTTGATTGTAATCATAGTTTTATTTTTGCCAGTTGTGTAAACTCTAAGCTCACCAATCAGTTCATCCAGAATTTCAATTTTAATATATGAGATAATCATTGCCATTTCTTCTCTCTCCTGTTATAACTACACACCCCATTTCAGTAGTTTGTTTTGCATGAACAACAGAGACATAAGTTTATCAGTAAAGATAAAATTCAGATGATGTTTGAGGCAGCAGATCTGTAGCAGCCGGTTTCTTGTGCATAAACTGTATTCATTACCATTGGAGAAACTTAATTTTTTAAAAACTAATTAGAATTATATTGTTGCAAAATTAATAATGGAACCAAAGACCTTTTCTTTCTGTGAAGCATAAAGGCTAATTCTTGTGTAGATTGTGGGACTGGCTAAACAAGTGGAATTGTCAGAGAGGCAAGTGGAACGCTGGTTATGTCTCAGACGTTCACAGGATAAACCTTCAACATTAACAAAGTTTTGTGAGACATGGTGAGTTTCTGCATGTCATGTTTCTATAGGTGTTAACTGTAGATGAATTTTTTGACTGTATAGTATGTGTGACAAGATTTATTTTTAATTTTCCAGTTGGCGATGCTTATACTATACATGCTCATTCTCATATGGTGTGTTCTGTTTATGGGAAAAGCCATGGTTATGCGACATTAACCATAGTTGGTATGGTTATCCTCACCAGGTATGTTACCTGTAGCCATTAACCTTTAACATAAGGACTTTTAAATTGCCGGCAGCTCCCTACGGCCGGAATTTAAATGGCCCTAAATCTTTAACATTGCAGACTTTCAGAAAAAAATGCATATTTTCCATTCTATGCAACATCGAAATATGAACTAAAAAGAACCTGAAAGACAATAAAATTTTCTACATATAGACAAAAGGGCAAGTTTTACAAATGAAAATTAACTGTGATTATTTTGTCATGAAATGCAAAATATAATCGTTATTAAATACGTTATGAAATTCTAAAGTACTTACCCGTTATTTTTCTTCAACCTTGAATCGTGGTGGTGATGTAAATATGATGACACTATATACAATAATATTTGGGCCGGACTGTACACGGTTTGGACTGCGTCACTTCACAGCTTACACTCTGACGCGCGTGTGCCATTTCTCGAAGCAGTCCACCACACACAGCGCGACATCACACTTTTTACAGCAGAAAAGCGTGCTTCTGCTTTTCTTGTTTATAGAACAAACCCGACACCGTCTTTGTTTCCCCTTAGCTGGCCAGTGTTTTGAATGTTTCACCTCCAGTCGACTCAGTTGGGCCCCAGATGAACTTGGCCTCCCCCGAGAAACGCCACTGACCGTGATGTTCGCCTCATGCGATTGAAGAATCAAATCACGCACCAAAATTTCGCGGAATTTTTTGTGCGTCATTTTTCCATCACATGACTTGTGTAACAGATATGCATTGAGAACAGTCATGTCTAGGAGGTGGAAGAATAATTTCTTCGTCCATTTCCATGTCCTCCGAGCAATGCCATAGCTGTTCACCATTCTATCAGATTTGTCCACAAAGCCCATGTGTGCATTGTAGTCTTCAATTACATGAGGTTTGATAGCACGGCCAGATTCATCTCGGAAGTTGCCATCCAATGGAGGAGGGTGCATATTCGTCAGAACATACACATCGCGCTTGTCCTTCCAACGAACAACACTTAGATTCCCCTTCACTCTTGTCACAATGTCCCCTTTTTTCAATTTCAGCGATTTGGGCCGAATTTCTTGTGGCATTCCACGCCTGTCATTGCGAACAGTGCCACACAAATTTATTCTGTGCTCTAGAAGATCATCATACAATGCAGGGGAACTGAAATAACTGTCCATATAAAGTTTGTGTCCTGAGCCTTCTACTCTTCGAATAAGTTGGAGAACAATGCCATGGGTTGGTGTAATTTCTTCGGTTGCAAGTTGCCTTTGTTTCCCCAAATAAACAGTCATGTCATAGGTATAGCCCAGAGAATCGCAAAGCTTGTAAATTTTTATTCCAAATCTTTTATGTTTCTTGGGAATATACTGCCGAAAAACCACTCTTCCTTTGAACAGCACTATCACTTCATCAACAGCAAGATGTTCCGATGGATGGTAAAGTTAACAAAATTTGCTGTTAAGATTGTTGAAAATTTTACTAATCTTCCAGAGCCTATCGTACTCTGGGTCATCTCGATTTGGAGGAGCTTCATTATTCTCAAAATGAAGGAATCTCAAAATATGGAAGAAACGGTCGCGTACCATGGTGTTATGATAGAATGGAGTGTAGTACTGCTCATCTCTCGACCAATAATCTTTCAGGGTGTCCCGCTGATCGTGGCCCATTTGAATTATTATGGCCAAAAATTTCGACATTTCTTCAAGTGTGACGTCAGGCGGTTGAGTAGAAGGGCCTGGAGCTTCTTGGCTTGCCAAAAATTGATGAAAATATCTGTTTGTTTCTTGTACCAAGATCTGGAATATATGGTGAAAAAAGAGAATGAATATGGAAAAGGGAGAGGACTCAGCATTTATATTGGGCGCAGTGGATCTGTTTATTCCACTCGGAGGACCAGTGAAATCTAGGAGCTTTGACGAATCCCCGGGTCTTCTATCGCGAAACCTGATCTCCATTTCCCCTGCTTCATTACTTGAGGATGATGATGATGATGATGATGATGACGATATATGCTCGTGAGGTTCAATGACCTCATCGAGTTCTTCCAACTCTTCGTCGGATTCATCTTCCATCAATATTTCCTCCAGTTCTTCAGCATCGAGGAGTTTTGAGTATCGGGCTCGTTTTTGAGGTTCCATCTTGGGGGAGGGGGCTTCCAGCTAAATCCTATAATTTATGATTGAAAAAGCGAGACTGTTGGGAACACCTGATAGGAACACTCGCAAAATTGTGATGCAAAATAACTGCTATAGCAGTCGAAGAGTTACAGTCCGCCACTGATACCGAAAGTCACAGTGACGAAGGTGTCTTTACGCACAGAGTAACACTGGCTCAGTGGGTTTATACCTCTTCCGAGATACACAATAAAAATTATATTCAAAGAAATATAGGAGTCTGACACTGACTTCCTAACTAATAACCAAATATTAGAAAATCTGCCACTGACATCCTAACTGACAATTCAACACTGCAAACCAATCCCTGAATTCGTCACCCTTCCGTGAAAGCTGTGGTAGCACTGATATGTAAGCGCCCAACGAATATTTCCTCCTCTAAGTCCTCAAAACAAAGCTGACCTCTATTGGCTCACCAGGTCATAAACAGTCATATCTAAATGTAAATAGTTTCGAAACCAGTACCCTGATAAACGATTTCTTTCTTCAGAGCTAACAAATAAACGTCTGAGATGAACATTCATGAGTTTGTTTGGGTTTCAAACCCAAGGTCAAACTGCCAGCACTCACAAAGGAAGCACGTGGCTTGCCTCTAAAAATTATAACATTCGGCCAGCTCGGCATGCTACTGGATGCCAATAATTATAACATTCGGCCGTTAAAGGTTAAGCTGAAAGAGTGATCGTTGTTTTTAGAATTTGTATAATGTTCATAGATTTTGTTGAAATTTCAGACACACAGTAGCGTGCAACTGAGAATGAGATGGGTATGTTGCTTATGTAAGAGGTGACGGAGTGGAGTCCTTATTAAATTGTAAAACATTGTTTTGTAGTAACATTCAGCAAATTTGCAGTGTGGGTGATTTCTCACATTAAAAAATTCAGTGTTTGATTCTGTCTGATGCTGATGGTATTGTTATTGTGCTTGATACATATGGGTATGAAGCTTGGACATGCTATGAGGGAAGAATAGTGATTGATGGTAATTGAGAAATGTCAGAGAGACTATTTTTATCTAAGAGAAGTCAGCTAAGAAGGGAACAGAAGAAGTATTTAATGAGGAGTATCATATTTTATAATCTTTTCGTAGTATTTTTAAGTTGATTAAAACAAGGACGATGGTCATCTTTTTCAAGACCATCTTAATGTACTTGTACTTAGGGTTCAAATTAAAAAGAAAAAAAATGGGAACATGTAAGAACTTGTTACGTCTGCTTTTACAGTAGTGGTATATAAAGCAGTTATTAATGTAGTGCGTAGTTTTCACAATAATTTAATTTTTATATTCCTCCTCCTCCTCCTCCTCCTCCTCATCATCACTTCATCATCATCATGAGCTGCATCAGTATCCTCCTTCCTCTGTGCTTAGTAGGTCAAGTTTTTCATTACTACAAATGCTCATTAAATCTTATTTAGAGTCCTCTCGGTTCTCTGTGTGGATTTTATATTGTGATGTGTATACCCATTGCTAGACAACTTGGTAAGCACATTCCCTTGGAAGCAAATGTGTGCAACAATAGGACACCTGTTGTTAGGCAACAGATTAGTAAACACACCTCCTTAACAACAGAGGCTGTGTTTTCTGCATGGTCTGTGCAAAGTGGTTATAAGGATGTGTTCGGCAGGCAAGAACAGTAGTCAAGTCGAGGGGAGTTGAGTATAGATCAGTGATAGTGCTGTATTGCATGTATTCCAAAGTTATCAATGTATAAGGTGAAATAAAGCCAATCATCCAGTCCAAAATCTGTCTTAAAGTCATATGAACAAACCCTACACATGACAATATTTAGCAGGTTTTGAAATCTTGTCAGACCACAATCTTCCAACATATACTTTATACGAGGATAAGTCAGAAATTATCCGCACTTTCTCCATAACACATCTTTAGGTTTGTCACACTGCATCCTATGCATGCATTGTTAGAGTTGGTACTACTGTGGTCATGTGATCGAAGTTTTACCTTGATCACATCATTTTCCTTGATGCTGTGACAGTGTAAACATGGCCGCTCTGCTAGCAGTGTGCACCAATGATTAACAAAGAATAGTGATCCGATTTCTCTGATTGGAAGGTGTGTTAGGGGCTGAAATTCATATGTGGGTTCATCACTATGAGCCAGAATCCAAAAGCCAGAGTATGGCATGGAAACACCCTGGATCGCAAACGAAGATGAAATTCAAGACTCAATCTTTCATGGGAAAGGTGATGCTAACCGTTTTTTGGGACTCAAAAAGGCCTATACTGGAAGACTACCTGGAAGGAAGGTGTACGATCAACAGTGCAAGATACAGTGATTTGCTGACGAACAATCTGAAGCCAGGAATTTGCACCAAACGCCGAGGCCTATTGTTGAAGAAAGTGTTGTTGTTGCATGACAATGAACACTCACACAAGGACGGCCAGACCATTGAAACCATTAACAATTTGTGTTTCGAGGTGCTGGAACACCCTGCCTACAACCCAGATCTCGCCCTTTCCGACTATCATCTCTTTGGACTGCTCAGAGATGTTTTACGAGGTTTTTGATTTTCTGCGGACAAAGAAGTGGGGGAAGCGGTGCATAAACGGTTGCGCGACCAACCGAAAACCTTCGTGGAGGGAATACGCAAGCTTTTTGACCGCTGGACCAAGTGCATCGAAAAGGGAGGAGACTATGTAGAAAAATGAAGTACTTGTTCAACCCCTACTTTTGTATATATGGATTGGAAAAAAAAGAGTGTGGATAATTTTTGACTTCTCTACATAATATCCTCTATGGCAGGCTTGTACAACTTCAGGGCACTGGAGTGCTATATTTTGCCTTAGTCATCTGCCCAAAAAAAGAGTTGGAAACAGTGTAGTGGAAATTATGCACAGAAATTGATCACAAAATTGTATCATTGTTAATTTATAGTTCCTGCTGGCTTTATTATCATGACTGAATATGTAAGTTCTTCCAAGAACTTATTTGATCAAAATGTTATCTAAATGGTTGTTGTTCTGTGTGTGTAGTAGGTTGTAGAATATGAAACATTGTTAGTTTTCAATTACTTATCAGTTTTCTGGCATAATACCATATCTTAAAGTCATTGTTAAGATGAGTTGGGTACATAAGATGTAACTGTTGAAGCAATAATACATCTCACAGATTGGCAGATTTCTTGTACCAACACAAGAGATACTGTACTGCTGTTAAATTATTAGAATCTTAGCAAAGGTAAAGAAAGATAATGTCCCTGTGCCTAAATAATTAAGCACTATGCCATGAATGTGTATGGGGGAGTGGATGTATAGAGCCACAATTTTTTTGACCTTGGCACTAGTTGGAGGTGAGTGGTCAGCTTCATGCCCCTGCCACTTTACCTCCTGGGGAAAGAGCCCATGTAGCCATTAGACAGGAGGTTGAGTGGGCTCTAGAACTGGTCTGGATGACGTGGAGAAGAGAAAACTCTTGACCTTACCCCTGTCATCCAGTCTCCATACCGACTATGTTATCCTGGCTTATGTTGGAATCTTAGTATATGTCCATATTATCTTTTAATATTGTAGCGTGTTTTGCGTGTCACGCTACAAATAGATTCACGTAGGCCTCAAATTAAGTAGAACCTTTATTGTTCTTCACTTATACACTCACACACTTTACAATTGTCATCTCTTGCAGTATTACAATTACTGCTTATGATATCCCGGCGATGTTGGACTCTCTTCTAAGATGGCTCGATGAGGACTGACTTCTAAGACGGCTATCCCAAGACTGACTGTCGAATGCATTCAGCCCCGCTATATAACCTTGGTCGCTGCTATGCAACGTACCCTCTGTTATAGCGGTGGAGACATTGCTTTGTCGGTTCCGCGTTTCCTACACAATAACCCATTGTTATCGCGTTGTCTCTGTGGGAACGCTTCGCGTATTCGTCGTAACCGTAGGGATTCCTGTTAGAACTACAGTAGAGCGAATGTTGTTTCCTGTGCAGCGGTCTGTTCTAGCGTTTCCATAGAAGTGACTCTTCTGGATTCCAGACATGTTATATTGCTCCCTTCTAAAGGTTGTTCGTCCCTGAACAGCCTAAAGGTTCTCCCTCGGTTTCGATTCCGCGGTGTTCTGCTTGCAACGTCTGCATTCGGCCTTGGTGTCCTTTGCGTGTCTTATTGCGCCGTTCATTTTTGCCGCATCCGCCCCTCTCTTCAGTTGTGCTCGTCCCGAGCACTTCCGTGGTCCAGAATTTGTTGGTCGCATTGTTTCACATTCATCCCTCACTTTCATTCTTCATGCATCCTTGCTGGGGAGGGCCGTACTTCTACGTTACCAGTTCCTCCCATAAGGGCCGTTTCCCTTTTTCCGTTTTGGAGGGGGTTGGCCCCTCCACAAGGTCCATTCCTTGTTTTCTCATAATCCGACGGAGGATCCGGCTATTTGCTTCGCGATCTTCCTGACGATAATCTCGTAGAAGGCCTTCTTGCAAGTACTTCTCCTTCCTGGGTGCGGTCGTTGTCCTGGCCTGCACCTTCCGATGCCGTTCTTGGTTGGCACTTCTTTCTTCTGGCATAGCGGCTGTCTGCCGCCTATCATCTTTATCCCTTTCCTTCCTGAACGCTGGCATCCGAAGGTTCCCTTGGGAGTTTCCTTCTTGAAGTCGTTTCTCCGTCGTGCCACTGTCGCGCGACTGGATGTCTCCTTGTCTATTGGCGTTCTATGTGCCGCTCTCTCTCGGCGTGTTATAGCTCTGCTTGTGACGGCCAATTCCTTCTGGGGTTCACAAATTTTCCGCGTTGCATCCTTCAGTTTCTGGCGGTGGCGCTCCGCGGCCAGTTTCTGGTCCCTACGCCTTTTCTTTGGTTCTCCGACCGGTATTCTCGGGGCGTCTTCTACGGGGACTTCTTGATGCTCTGCCACCTCAGGTTTCGTTTCTACGTTTTAGCATGAAGTAAACATAAAATAAAATACGATACTCTAATGGCCTTTGTAGCCACATTTAAAGAGTTTTTATTTAGGTTTTGTTATATTAGATTTAAAATGTATGTCACAGAACACAGTATATTTGTGTTTGGTGCAGTGTATTCGAACAGTCTATGCGGTTTTTGATTATGTAGTATCTACCAGGTACATGATATGTGCTAAGTTTCATGAAGAAATGTATTAGAATGATATGTGGTACAGTACTTACAGAGATATAAAGCTTTTAAATGCTAGATACAAGGAAGTACAGAAATTTGAAAGAAATGATTATAGCACTAGGATTTTGTCCAAAGAAAGTGTAAATAAGTCATAATGTGACATACTCAATTTTGTAATTCTCATGAGTAGAAATAAGGAATTATGAATTGGATATTTAGTATCATAGACTCCAGTGAATTTGCACCTTTCTGTATGCTTAATGTGAAGTACATGCCATTGGTGCTATATTTGTTGTAATATCATGAAAAAATCTGCAGATAGATCATGTTGATTGTTCAGTTAATCAGCTCACTTGGTCACTGTTAGGTCTCTTGTAAAATACAAGTAGGCCCATATGGTTCATATTTTTGTGTTATATTGGTATCTTAAAATTTTAATGTTTCAATTACCTTTTGTGTTTAAACTAGAGCATCACTTCTGACTGCTGGTGGTATTACATGATCTCACTGGCATTCTATTGGTCACTGACAGTATCACAGTTCTTTGACGTAAAGCGGAAAGATTTCTGGCAGATGTTTATACATCACATAGCTGCCATATGCCTTATGGGATTCTCATGGGTGTGCAACCTCCATCGCATTGGAACACTGGTGCTTCTCACTCATGATTGTTCTGATATTTTCCTTGAGGTAAGCTACAATTGGTTGAAATTTGTGTATTAATTATTGAGCATATATTTCCAGTGCACACATCTTTCTATCAATCTGCCAATATCGCACTGTATAACTGTATTCATAATCTGTTTAATGCGTATTTTCTCTATGCTGACATAGGTAATGGGACATGTTTTTTAACATCCAGTAAGTGAGTTTTCCAAAGGGGCCTGAAGTGTCCATTCAGCTGCTAAGAGAATGGTTAGCAGAGTAACTGAAATTGTGCAGAAGTAATACAGGGAGAACATTTCTTTGCTAGATAGATATGCTTTCATTAAATTTACATTGAACTAGGTTATAGAGTTTAAAATAGCATGCTGTTATTTGGTGGTCAGCAAAGCTAAACTGTAAAGCTTGAAGTATATATTTCTCATATTGCTCAGCTCAGGGATCTTGTAAAAGCATGAAAGCATTTTGATACTAGTCTAAGTGCTCCTGGATTTCAGTACCAGCAGTTTGCAGTGAGTTATTGTTCAAAGCATTTAAAGTATTTGGCAAGCAAGGAAATCATTATGGTAATTTATTTTCATATGGTACCTAAATTCACACCAATGAATCCTACGTTCTCATCTGCGTGCAGGGTATATTTATAGTTCTCTGAATTTCAATAAATTGTTGATCACATTGAGAGCATACGTGGTGTGTTGAAAAAGTATCGAACCTTCTTTTTTCCCACGTAAACCAATGAAGCGCGGGAGGTTCCCTTCGGTGGAGATGTGGAAGGGACATTCATTTGCAGTCGTGAATTTTTTCCCGCCCGCAGAAAGCGTCAGTCATTGGCAGTCAGCCTATGAGTGAGGACGTGTAGTGAGCACTTGTCAGATTCCAGTAAGGTGTAAAATGACGGAACAACATGAGCAGCGATATTGCGTCAAATTTTGCCAAAAGCTTGGCGATACCCAGGTGGAAACCATTCGCAAGTTTCAACAGGTTTTCGGGGACAATGCCATGAGCAACTCACGGATAAAGGAGTGGTACAGCCGCTTCAAAGATGGCCGCACATCAATGGACAGCAAACTGCGTTCAGGCAGACCCTCAACAAGCCGAAATGAGAATGTCATTGAGCAAGTGCGGACTTTGGTCATGGAGGACCGTCGTATCACAGTCCGAGAACTTGCGAACGAGATAGGGGTAAGCATTGGATCGGTACATTCAATTTTGACCGAGGATTTGGGCATGAGGAGAGTGTCCGCGAAATTCGTACCAAAACTGCTAACAATGGAGCAGAAGCAATGCCGTCTGGAAATCGCACAGGACATGCTGGACAATGCAAACAGTAACCCCAACTTTCTGAACACCGTGATCATGGGTGATGAGTCGTGGGTTTATGACCCGGAAACCAAGATGCAGTCGTCACAGTGGAAACATCCGACATCCCCTAGGCCAAAAAAAGCATGGCAGGTCCGCAGCAATGTCAAGGTCATGTTGGCCGTTTTCTTCGACTCCTGTGGGGTTGTGCATCATGAGTACGCACCACAAGGCCAAACCATCACAAAGGAATACTACCAGGAGATCCTTCATTGCCTTTGTGATGCTGTGCGGCGCAAATGACCGGATCTGTGGGCAGCAAAAACTTGGCAGCTCCATCATGATAACGCACCCGCCCATTCTGCGCATCTGATTCAGACTTTTGTCGCCAAATACAACACCCCTGAGGTTCGTCAGGCTCCCTACTCCCCCTGACATGGCTCCGTGTGACTTTTGGCTATTTCCCAAGCTGAAAATGCCGCTGAAAGGAACCCGATTTGAGTCAAGAGAAGACCATCATGCGGGATGCAATGGCCCGCCTGATCACCATTCCAAAAGACGCGTTCCAGAAGTGTTTCCAACAATGGCGGAAGCGCTGGGAGAAGCGTGTGCATTACCAAGGAGACTACTTTGAAGGGGATTAGGGTTTTGTACCTCCAAATCAATAAATGTATTTCTGCTAACCAAAGGTTCGATACTTTTTCAACACACCATGTATATAAGAGATGCTGTGCTGTAGATGCTGTAAAGGAGACCTAACAATATACTGGAAGGACTGAGACGCTATAAATTAATGTTACAATACATGCTCTCTTATACAGTAGTAGCAAAGAGTAATAGGTTTCTTTCAGCATGTATGACTTCTCAGACTCTATAAAAGTTAATTTCTGAATATGTTGATACTTTTAGGGATTTAGTGTCATTCACATGAAAGTTTCATTGTCATGCAATAGTTCAGTATTCATGACCCAGCAAAACTGAACAAGATTATTCAGGGTTAATCAATTAAATTCTACAGTGTACTCAAGAATATTTATTCTTTCCTCTTATAGGCAGCCAAAATGGCAAAATATGCAAACTACCAGAGAGTATGTGATGCATTGTTTGTATTATTTACGATACTGTGGATTATAACACGTCTTGGCGTCTTTCCTATGTGGATCATTTACAGGTATGCATGGACTTTGTTTTATGGGACCTGAATAAATTCTCATATGTGGTTCATATATGATATGTACAGATGAATAACCCTTTCATATGTAGAATTTCATATGGATGTTCTCTTACTTTGTTTCATTCTCTCATTGTTACAAGAATGGGTATCTAATCTGGTGTCATAAAATTGATAAAATATAATTTCTTTATGTTGCACTGAAATAATTAACAGAATCTTGTATGCAGGACATGTGAACATGAGTCATAAGATGAAAGATTGCCAGATAGGAGGACAAATTAGTCATCACTATTTCACACATCATTTGAGTGTTAGTCATAAGATGAAAGATTGTCAGATAAGAGGACTGATCAGATCATGACTATTTCACACATAATTTGAGTGTTTAACATCACATTTGTCATCCCTATGCTGAGACCTGTGACTCTTTTAGGATTTCAGCATGTGTGTAGCATTGTAATCTATGAACAGACTGCAATAGAAATGCCATGGTATAATGCCGTCTGTTACATAATTTGAGAACAGGCTGTAACATTCATATATGTCCATTGTCACTGTTAATTATATCACCAGCATGTATAAAAAACTACTAGTTTTTAGCTGTGGTATAGGTATGAAAGGTAACTAATTTGAAGGACATGTTAATTGAAAAAGATCTGTATTTGATAACTGTTGAATGAATTTCCTGTTCCTGGCAATGGAGAATCTCACTGGCATATGATATTTACTATGTGAATATTTCTCTGTCAGGTATTGGTATAATTCAGATAAACATTTTCTCTAAGATTCATACTTTAATTATTATTAAGCATCCGTATGTCAGCCTCTGAAGTTAACTAATGCTTTCAATTATGCCAGCTTTTTTTACATTACAAACTGTAGAAAGAAATAATTGATCTCCACAGTTGTAAGGATAAATATTGGATTTCTTTGCTGCAATTCATGGTTAGTAGTGAGACATACTTCATTATGGCAGTACCCATGCTTTCAAAAGTGGAATACAATTTTATATTTACTTTTAAAATCCAAATTTGTTTTCTTTGAATACTATTACTGAATTTTACTAATGTTATTGTATGACTTCTGAATAAGGTTTTGAAAGTCACATGGCATTTTACACAGTAGTTTGTTTATTCTGTGTATTTTAGTGAAAAATTATCCCTTATTTTAGTTTCCATATTTATGCATGGATGATCCCTCCCCTTACTGCCCCCAACATTCTAGTGCATGAACTTTTCTTTTGACCATGACTAGTTCTGTCTTTTGCACATATTTCCTGCCTGTTTCTGACATACAAGGTGTGTCCCAAAAGTCATGAAATATATATATATTTTAAATTTATTGCTGATATTGGTACAAAGTGTTAATATTCTTCAAAGTACTCTCCATGAGCATCTACACATTTTTTCCACCGACTCTCCCATGCCCGGTATGCCCCCTCAAAGGCCTCGACGGGAACCTCATTTAAAGCTGTTGTCACGGCTACTTGGATAGCCTGAATGCTTTCAAAACCGCGTCCTTTGAGTGCAGTCTTGATCCTCGGGAACAAAAAGAAGCTGGCCGGAGCTAGGTCGGGGCTGTAGGATGGCTGCGGCAGCGTTGCCATGTGGTGCTTCGCCAGGAACTCACGGACAAGCAGAGATGTGTGGCTGGGCGCATTGTCATGATGCAGCCTCCAGTTAGCGGCGATGTCTTTTCGCACGCAGACGACCCTTTTCCTTAATCTTTCTAGAACATCCACATAGTAGGGAGCGTTGACGGTCAGTATTCAACAAATCACGCACACAAGTCACATTTTCATTGGTTTGGCTTGTTGATGGCTGTCCAGAGCGGGGGTCATCTTCCACTCCTTCCTGGCCCTCCTTAAACTTCTTCACCCACCTTGTAACTTGCACATATGATAGAGCAGACTCCCCGTAGGCTTGCTTAAGCAGTTCGTGAGTTTCGGCAGCTGTTTTGTTGAGCTTTGTGCAGAACTTGACCGCCCAACGTTCGAAAGTATCCGCCATTGCGCGCCGTGACATGGTCACAAAACACAGGTGCACTAAATCAGTGATACTGACGCCTCCGTTGCTCGAGCAGACTGACCTTGGGCGCGCTGTGAAGTTAAAGGCCTCCCTCCCCTAACCCAACGACTCCTCTCACATTGAAAGAACAAATCAGCATTGTTTTTCATGTTTGATTTCACCTGACGAGCATTCTTGGGGCGAGGCGAACTTGAAGTCTTCCACTGGCTTGATTGTTGCTTTGATTCAGGATCGTAAGCATAGCACCAGGTTTCGTCGCTGGTGAAAATTTTTGAANAACGAGGTTTGACATCAATTGACATTTCACCATTTTTGAAACGGGGAAAACCACTCAAACACTTGAGTTTTCCCCATAGCATCGTCCTTGTATGCCGTTTTTAACATTTCAAGAGTTTCTGTTCCACTTTTCCCGAGCAAAAAGCAGAATTTCACCGCCGCACGCTGTTCACGAAAATCAGCCATTGCAAAAACGACAATCACACAAAACAGTTGTCACTATAAACTCTGCCAAAACTAGTCCTTACCTTCTGAAGCAACGGTAGTCGGCTTATCGACTCAGGAATGTTAGCTCTATGTGCCCATAGCGGCAAAACGCGGTACTACAAAAGCTCTGCCCACAAAAAAAATAGTTCGGTTTCTTTTGGGTACCCAATCGTATGTACATATTTTGCATGATGATACTACATAAAAATCCTAGTTCTAGAGATGTCTGAACAGGTTAGTGTAGCAGTAATGGTCAGATCAGATCTTTGATTGGGATGCTGGCTATCCTGACTGAGATTTGTCATGGTTTTCCTCAGTCCCACCATCCTTTCTTGCGAAGCCACCATTTGTTGAATTACTCAAGAATTTACCAACATTTTATGGAACCTGAAGGTTCATTACCGTGTTCACAAGATTCCTCCACTGGACCCAGATGAATGGTTGCATGATGCTAGTGTAAAGTCATATTCTAGTTAGACATGAGGTGACATGATGTTTAGTCACACATTAATTGACAAGATACCAGTCAAACATGAAGTCATGTGATGGTGGTCAGATATGAAATAATGTGATGTTAATCAGACATGAAGTGACATGATGAAATTCAGACCTGAAGTGATGTACTTGGAGATCAAAGACTTGCTGTAAGTATCTTCTCAGTCAAGGATTGAGGAACTTCCTTGAAAGTTAGGGAGTACTCTGTTCAGTACAAAACTAAGAGGCTTGTTTTAGAAAAATTAAAGCAGTACAGTAATGAGACCTGTAATAACCACTAATTCATTTACATGCATATGAGGCCATGCCATAGCTCAAGCAGTTAGTTGCTGGCTTCCCACTGCAGCGGCCCGGGCTTGATCCCGGGTCTAGTCAAGTGGGATTTGTGGTGGACAAAGTGGCACTGGGGTGGGTTTTCTCTGAGTACTTTGGTTTACTGTGCCAATCTTCATTCCACTAAATTCTCCATCATCATAATCACCCGGGGCAGGCTACAATAGGCCAATCAGTGAGCGCTGTGCTGAGTGGACCCAGTTGGACTCCACCCCCCACTAAATTAATTAAAAAGAAATTACATGCATATAGAGTGTGACTGGGTGTTGGTGACTCTAGTGCGCACTTAAAATTTACTGATATTGACGTTGATTCCATTCTTTGTTATACCATGTGAATGTGGGTGATGTTGCTGGCATTTTTCAGCTACATGCTGCCTCCATCTTCAGTGTTGAAGTTTGTAGGTTGGTGAGTTTTGTTGTAAATATATAAATATATAATAATAATATAAATATTGTAAATATTTTGTTTTGAAAAGGTTTGGGTTGGGGGAATGGTGCCTCATCTAGGCCAGTAGTGCCGGCGGTTCAGAAAAGTTGTGCAGGCAGCCTTTAAAAGGGCTCTCTGCACAACCTTTGTGGTCCACTGGCCCAGACAAGGCACCAATACCTACTCTCTCCCTCTACTTCCATGCACCATTCTTCTTCAAACACAGTGCTATATATACATAGAAAATTGCCAGGCTACATACTTGGAAATGGAAGCAGCATGGCAACATTGCCCACATCTGTAAGGTGTAACAACCCAGGAACAGAATTAACATCAATAATTAATTATTGTTATAGCCTAGAATCAGTAATTTACTGATATTTATGAGTAAATAGAAACAGAGTGGGTCTTGGTGTTTTTAGCCCAATACTCAATCTCCAACACACAGGACCAAAGACTACACTTCTGTCTGGCCCCTACCCTTTGACTTCTCTGGCATGGGTAACCCTGCCAGGAGCTTATGCTCCCACCAGCATAGCTCCCAGCTCTCAGGGTCACTGGGGCATTCAAACCTCTCCATGATAAGACTGTATTCCTCAAGGAGGAATGTTCTTATTATTGTGTGTATTGAAGTAGTCTTTTTTTGTATGTGTGTGTGCAGTACAGCCATTGAGGCTCCAAATTATGTGGAAATGTTTCCTGCATACTACGTTTTCAACTCCCTGCTTTTACTGCTACTGGTTCTACATTTATTTTGGACTTACGTGATACTGAAGATTGCTTACAAGTCCATGGTTGCAGGACAGGTATGTTACAGTAGACAATAATGGAAACACTACAGATACCATACACATTTCTTTATTAATATGGTGTTCGACTACTTTTTGCCTTCAGTACAAACGCAGTCCTTGAAAGGTTTTGAAGTCTCTAGCTTAAGTTTATACCACCTTATTTGAGGAACATCTTCAGGTTGCTTTAGGGATGTTGGAGGTGGAAATCTGTTCTTCACTCGCTCACTCACTCACTCACTCACTCACTCACTCGCTCGCTCGCTCGCTCATGGAGCTGAGCCTATCTTGAGAAACTGCCAGTTGTGCAGCTACTCAGGAACTTCCCAGCATTTTATGGATGCTGAAGGTTCATTACCGTGTTTACAAGAGCCCTCCACTGGCCCCTATCCTGAGCCAGATTAATCCAATCCATACCATCCCATCTTGTCACTCTAAGATCCATTTTAATATTGTTCACCCACCTATGCCTTGGTCTTCCCAGTGATCTTTCTTTCTGGCTTTCCCACCAATATCTATCCCATATACATTTTTCTTCTCTGCCTTTCATTCTACATGCCCTGCCAATCTCATCCTCCTTGACTTGATAATTCTAATTATACTTGGAGAGGAGTACAAGTTATGAAGCTCCTCATTATGTAGTTTTCTCAGACCTTCTGTCGCTTCATCTCACTTCGGTCCAGATATTTTTCTCAACACCCTGTTCTCAAATACCCTCAGTCTGTGTTCCTCCCTTAATGTCAGAGACCAAGTTTCACACCCATACAGAACCACAGGCAAAATTATAGTTTTCTGTATTCTAATTTTATGTTTTTAGATAGCAGATGAGAAGACAGAAGGTTCTGGACTGAATGTTAGCAAGCCTTACTCGAGTTCAGTCTCCTCTTAATTTCCCCCTGAATCAGGTTTTAATTTGTTTTAGTTTTTTCAAAATATCTGAACTGTGCCACATTTTCTAAACATCTGTTACCTGTTTTTATGTCATGATTTTGCCCTGCATTTTGGTGACAGGACAGCAACATATACTTAGTTTTCTCTTTGATTACTTCTAGACCAACCTCCTTACTTGCATCAATTAAAGTTTGTGTGTTTTTCTTTATGGTATCTCTATTATCACCCAGTAGATTCACATCATCGGCATAGACCAACAGCTGATGTGTCCCATTTAATTTCAGTCCCACCTGGTTTTCCTGGACCTTCCTAATGGCATATTCTAAAGCAAAGTTGAAAAGAAGTGGCGTTAAAGGATCTCTTGGTTTAGACAATTCTGGATAGGAAAACTATCAGACAAATGTTTACGTATATAGTCTTTACTATACGATTTGTATAAACACATTTTAATCAGCCTGACCAGTTTCATGGGTACCCCAGACTCTATCAGAATATTGTACAGTACTTCCCTCCTAACTTTCTTGAAGTCTTCACTGTTGGAACCAGGCATTCCAGATTGTAGGCTTCCTTGGGTGTTCTCCAAATGTAAACTGTTCCTGATGTGGGAAACAGCATGAAGGATGACCTATCTTCCAATTCCTTTTCAAAAGGTATTGTTACCTGTTAGACATTTTTGTAAGATGTATGGTCAAAAGTGAGATATTTACCAATGATACTGCACCACACATTTACAGAAAAAAAAACATGGAAATTCCTTTTTTGCTGTTTCTTTCAGATTTTCATGAGCCCACAAACGGGAGTTTTTGGTGGTGTTGAATCCTTGGCATGTAAACTAATTCTTGGTGAATAAAATTTAGTGATGCAACTCAGGTTGTGAATCAGACCAGCATCACAATTCCAACCATTTACCCTTGTCAAGGTGTCAGATTTGCTGGGTGTGATATGAATGCAGTCCTTCATTGTGTAATATTTGCCAGGCACTCATACTTTGGACTTGGAGACATGGAAATTTGTGAAGTACCAACATGTTGACTGCTTTGTACCATTTGAATATGTTTTCTTTATCCTCCACATTCTCTTGTACTGCTGGACATGCAGTACAAGCATGGAAATGAGCCACTTTTCCACACTTGTTGATGAATAGTTCTAAATGCATATCAGCCAAAATTTTGTTGTGGAAATTATTGCTGATATGATTTAACTACAGCATTCATTTTGCAAGTGCAGGAACCATATACATAGTGCATATCTGTTTGAAAATATAGTGGCATGTTCAGAATTGCATTCAGGAGTGAAATAACAGTTTGATAAAGAAATATGAACAGCCTGATTGCACCATCTGCTAGCTAGAACATTACTGATGAGCAGGCTTTCATTTGAAAATGTCTGTGCCTTCTCAGATGTTTGCACTGAAACTGTGGAAGGAAACATCCATAGATTTGGACCCATGTTCATATGTTATTTCTGAATGATGATGACCTCTGTAGTGTTGACATGAATTCACAGGACACTTTATATGTGGAGTGTCATAAAATACATAACATAATGAGTGTGCAACATGTAAATGGGATTAGGAGGCAGTTTTTAAGAACCTTCATGTAAATGAAACTGTATAATAAATTTCAAACATTTATACATATTGTTTATCATATGGGGGTTATGTTGTACACGTTTTGTACATAAATCCATCAAAATAAAGATTGTGCATTAATGGATTTTTATTTTCAGGCTGTGCCATAATATAACTTTGAAAGGAAATTCAATCCATTTGTTGTATAAGACAATTCAGTTTTGTAAGTAAATAAAGCAAGATAGTGTTCTGTTATTTATAGGAATGCTGTTATTGCTGTCTTTCAAGTGTGCTGCTTCCCAACCATACTGTAATGTCTAAAAGAGGTCTTAAGGAAGAAAATTTTGGAATATTTGCTTGTAGAATATGTGTATTTTAGTCTGTTGCTGTATTGTAGAAATGAACACTTGTATGAGAGTTCATATTTTTGTACTGACTGAAGATCTTTACTGTGGTTTTCTGAGTTATGACATCATGTAGTTGGATGATTGTTGCTATTATTTTGGAGGAACCTGCTGCATAAATCTTCAGGATGGAGAGGTAGCAGGTTCCTCTGAAATGTTGATAAACACAAGACTACATGTAGTCATGGCCCCAGAAGTCCACAGTGTAAAATTGCATGTTTGATTGCAGATGGAGGGAGACATCCGGAGCTCTTCGAGTGATGAGGTCTCTGGTGAATCTGATAACCATGCCAATATATCTCCATCACCAAATAGCCTTCATTTACGCAGCAATTCCAGAACAGGAGCTGATCAGTAACCTCTGCTTTCTTTAAATTTTTCATAAGAGAGGTTCCAATCTTCATGAAAAGTCCACATAGGCAGTTGTGAAAATTGAGTCGATGGATGATGAGATAGATTTTGTATGTAAACATCACACTGGACAGTGAGATTTCTGGGGATAACTGTGATTATTTTGCTAGTATAAGTTATTTACATGAAGATGTAACTCTATAATCCTTCATGTACATGGAAATGAGTTCTTAAAACCATAGAATATGCATTTCTTTCTCTTTCATTTAATCTTACACAGAATACCATGTTTCTTGTTGTTCTTCATTGCTTAATGTACATACAAGAGCTGTCACTTCAGTTTGTACAGATCAGTGAGTGCTATGTTTTATAGATTAAAATTTATAGGAATCTCAGGAATAGCTGTGGATAACTACATGAAATTGTAATGGTTATCCGAACTTAAATTTCAGCATTGAGCATTTACTTTCCAAAGTGGTATTTTCCTGTGTATGTGGAATATATTCATATTGGTCAGAAGTACTTAATGTTACTTCAGTAGTTCCACAGATCCATGGCAGAACAAATGAGTGAAGAAATCTAAATCTTGTATGTTTGTAAAACTGTTTATGTAGTACACAGTCCGTCAACAGTGCAACAAATTGTTCCTTCTTTCTTACACTTTCACTTTCGACACGCCATTTTTTGGCCCTATATGGCCATGTTCAGGTGTCTTACGATGCTAAAACTGCTACACTGCAGTAATATTATCCATTTGTCACATGCAACTGCATGCTTCATGATTATAAACGTCATAATCGTAATCTAACTGGTATGCGCTAAAATAGCACACGCTATAGTTCACTTAATTTAAATCAAATAAAGTCAATTAAAATTTTCTTTCAGTTTTGTAAAATTCTTATTACACCTCACAAGGGGTGTCGTCCACTTGTTTAGATCTGTCATTTTCTTCAGATGTTTTATTGTGGCAGCCTGTTTTTCTGTTGTAACAGGGAAGAAAGGAAAATATATGAATACACTTGAAAAGTATAATATTTATGAAATCAGTAGGAAAAATCTATTTATTTATTTAATTTCTGTTGATTCATACTCGTACAACCATTGGATGTAGAAAAGTAAAAAAAAACGAATATAAAACAGAACAATAATAATAATGATAATAAGACATGCAATCATTAAAATATTTTGTCAAAAAAAAAAAAATAGTAGAACACTGTAAATATTGATACAATGATGTTACGATTACCATCAGAAATACTTATCTAGTTGTATGCATAAAAAACTCATCCACAGTATAAAAAGAATGCTCATGCAAATAATTTTAATGTTTTTTAAAACTTTTAATATCACATGCCAAGTCCTTAATATCAGCTGGGAGTTGGTTATATATCTTAACGCCTGCGTAGGTGGGACTTCTATGAAACATCGTCAAGTGAGTCATTACTTGAAAAAAAATAGAATTATTCCTGATATTAAAATTATGAATTTCAGAATTTTGTCTAAACAGTGATTTGAAGAAAGCAGTCTTCTGGGATTTGGCACCGTGTATATGTGGTGTTAACCGACGTTTCGGAGGAACGTATCGCCTCCATCTTCAGGGTAGAAGAAAAAATATAAGAAATCTGCAGTCTGCTTTTACCGGTTCTCACGGTCTCTTCGCTTTGCAGATTTCTTATATTTTTTTTTCTACCCTGAAGATGGAGGCGATACGTTCCTCCGAAACGTCGGTTAACACCACATATACACGGTGCCAAATCCCAGAAGACTGCTTTCTTCATAGTCACCGCCGTGAAAGCCTCAATCAAATCTTAAACAGTGATTTATTGGTAACANATGCCAAGTCCTTAATATCAGCTGGGAGATGGTTATATATCTTAACGCCTGCGTAGGTGGGACTTCTATGAAACATCGTCAAGTGAGTCATTACTTGAAAAAAAATAGAATTATTCCTGATATTAAAATTATGAATTTCAGAATTTTGTCTAANTAACCATTTGCTTTTGGAGTTTGAAAATATTCATACTGTGGGAAGATGTTTCCCAGAAGATTAATCCATATGTTATAACTGAATGAAAATAAGCATGATAGATTATCTTTAGGAAATTTAACGATAAGAAAGGTCTAATTGCTCTTGCAATATAACATGCTTTGTTTAGTTTGGAAGCCAACATATTGGTGTGACTCTTCCAAGACATAGTTTTGTGAAGTACTAGCCCAAGAAACTTTAGTTCAGTAGTATTGGCAATAATTTTGTTATATTTAATTTGTATTTCAGAATTAATGATATATTTAGAGTGGAATCCCATACAATAGGTTTTGTCCAGATTTAGTGAGAATAAATTTGCCTTTAACCATTTCATCACACTAGTGAAGACTGACTTCGAGTTATTTCCTAGTACAGTAGTGTTTTGATTACTGATGATTACACTAGTATCGTCCACAAATAAAATTGTTTGGGGGTTTGCATTAACATTCAGATATTTTATAGATAAAGGTAGATCATTGATATATAGTAGGAAAAGTAATGGTCCCAGGATAGATCCCTGGGGAACACCATGTTTGACCAGACCCCAAACTGATTCACTCTTATGAAAGGGTCCATTTTTAATTACCACCCTTTGATACTGGTTTTGGAGATACAATTTTAATAACATATACGTTGTCAGTTATACCATAAAATTCTAGTTTATACAAAAGTATTTCGTGATTTACGCAATCAAAGGCTTTCTCCAGATTGAAGAAGATTCCACCTACTTTTTTTTTGTTGTTAATAGCTGCTGAAACTGTCTTTATTAAGTTATATGAAGCTGTTTCAGTGGATAGTTCGGGATGAAACCCAAATTGTTCATTGGCTAGAATATCATAAGCGTGAACGTGTGTCAGTAATCTTCTAAATATTATTTTTTCAAACACCTTGGAAAATGAAGTTAACAATGAAATTGGTATATAATTTGCACATTTCTTCTTATCGCCTTTCTTGTATATAGGAGTTACAATTGGGTATTTCATACATAAGGGGAATTTACTAGCTAAGACTGCCTTATTGAATTTATAGCATAAAGAGGAAGAAATGTATGGGGCACTAATTTTTAGTGTCTTCACCGAAATCTCATCATATCCGGAAGAATTTTTTGAACGTAAAGAGGAGAGAACATTTTCAATTTCATTAGTTGTTATTTTAATGAATATTATCTTGGGAAAGGGGCCCTTAACTGTTAAGCTCAGATAATGTTTATAGCTATTACCATTATCCGTATCTAAAGTAATTTGAGTAGAAAATTTTTGAGTAATATTATCAGCAACATTTAAAAAATGATTATTAAAAATACTTGGATTTATTTCTTCAGTTTTGCAGTTTTTGTCCTTCAGGCGGTTTTTGCCTAACTTCGCTTTAATAATATTCCAAGTAGTTTTAATGGTATTATTGGAGTTTGTAATTTTATCATAATAGTTGAGTCTTTTTGCCTCATTTATCACCTTAGTCAGGATCTTGCTGTATGAATTATAATATTGCTTTAGATTATTGTTGTCATGTACCTTTGTCAAAAGGTACAGCTCTTTTTTCCTTTTGCAAGAAGTTTTAATTCTGATAGTTAACCATTGTTTAGGGGGGAGATTGCTCAGAGATTTTCTTTTTTGGAAAGCAAGCATAAAATATTTGCAGATATGCATTTGCAAAGGTATTAAATATGTCTATATTGTTATCCTCTGTATTGAACACATTTTCCCATACTGCGTAGCTTAATCTAAGTTTAAATTCATCATTCATTTATGAAATATCCGTATAGTTTTATGGTTTGGGTTAGCGCTTTTACAATAGAACTCTTATTAGTGTAAAGACAGTAATTGCCCATCATGGTCAGATAGACCATTAAATACTGGAAGGATAATATAATTTTCAAATTTAGTTATATCTATAAAGATATTGTCGCGTATCTTGCGTATATCGCGACAAATAACTTCTCGATGTATTTGATGTAGCGAATTTTATTTCACATTCGCACTTACAATCACCCAAATTACAGATTTACGGTTACTGCTATCTGCAGTATCACAATTAGTACACTCGAAATGCCAGAATACCACTGACTAGTTGCTGGCTAACTCGACGGTAGCTCCAGGACTCACTGACTGACTCAGTACAACTGACTGAATAGCCTTCGCTGCTCCCCGTGTAGCCTTGATCGGACAATACGGCCACGTAATAGGCAACCTTGTTGCCTGGCGCAGTGTTGCTAGCAACGCTAGCGGTAGTAACCGCTGTTACTACCGTTACAATCCGGTTGCGTCATCGTTACGTTACCGTGCGGAGGAGGGGGAGGGGAGCGCTGACTCACCTGCCGCGTCACTGCTGGTGGGGGGGGGTTCTCCTTTGCGCAACATGTTACAATATTATCTGTTAATGTTAGAGTTGCAGTGCTAATCCTAGCAGGAAAATGAACCACACTATATAGCTTGAAAGACTGCAGCATATAATTCAATTGTGCTTCTTTTTATTGTCTACAAGATAATTTATATTAAAATCACTGCAAATTTGGTTTATAGATTTTTTTGATAATGGTTTCTAATTGGGTAATAAATAAAGGAAAATTACTGGACGGACACCTATAAATAGCTAAAATACAAAAGATACTAGATAGAAATTTGCATTTTACAATACATGCCTACATGGCTTTGTCTATATATAATTCTCTGATATTAATAACTTCAAAATCCAATGAGTTATGTACATATATACTAACACCTCCCATAATGAGAGACTCCCTACAATAACTAGTTTCTAAATTATAATTAGTTATAGTCAAATTTTCAGTTTGTGAAATTTTAAATTATGTTCTGTAAAACAAGTATTTGCGGTCTGGATGTAGGTGAGCATAAATTTCACTGGTCTTATTTAACAGCCCACGAATGTTTTGATGGTAAATTTTAAAACCATTATTATTAAAATTTTCCTTATTGTCGCGTATCGGGCGTATATCGCGACAACTAACTTCACGCCGTGTTTTATATAGCGAATTTTATTTCACATTCGCACTTACAGTCACCCAAATTACACACTCCAGATATAACTGGTTATCACTGGTTATCGCACACGCGTCTGTAGCTCGTAACTTGCGAACTGAGAACTCGTTGGTAACGCACTGACTGGCTGACTCAGTACAACTGACTGTGAATAGCCTTCGCTGCTCCCCATGTAGCCTTGATCGGACCATACGGAAAAAGGCCACGTAATAGGCACCCTTGTTGCCTGGCGCCGTGTTGCTAGTAACGCTAGCGGTAGTAACCGCTGTTACTACCGTAACAATCCTGTTGCGTCACCGTTACGTTACCGTGCGGAGGAGGGGAGGGGAGCGCTGACTCGCCCGCCGCGTCACTGCTGGTGGGGAGGGGTTCTCCTTTGCGCAACATGTCACACTGCTCCCTCCTTAAGGCTGTTCGTCCCGAATAGCCTAGCGGTGCATCCCCGTTCCTTTTCCGTCCCGTAGCTGTGCTTGTGGGGTCTCCTGTTGTTTCGGTTACTCTTCTTGCAGCGACTATTCTTCGTCCGTTACATCCGCTCCCCTCTTAAGACAAAGCTCGTCTCGAGCGGTTTCCTTTCAGCTTGCCAGAAGATCCAGTCGTGTCCCATTCATCCATTACTTTCATTCGGTCGCACCTTCACTCTCTCTGGGGAAGCCGGTTCTTCTACATTACCGGTTCCTCCTCTGCTTGAAGTCTTCTTTTTCGTTTTGGAGGTGGTCGACACTTCCACAGTGTCCAGTCTTTGTTTATGTCTTCCCTGAGAAGTTCATTATGTCGACGTAACAGCCCTTGATGCGTTGTTTGCACTGACTGACGTCGTCGTTCCTCCTGGTCTTCCCGCCACTTGCTGGCATGAGACCGTGGCGCCAAGTCCTCTGTCCGGCATCCGAAGGTTCCCTGGGGAGTTTCCTTCTTGAAGGCATTTCTCCAACGTCGTGCCACTGTCGCGCGACGGGATGTCTTCCTGCAGGGGGCAGCCAACTTCTTCTG